GATTTGGTAATCAGTTTTGTCCACTATTTACCAGTCTGATTTGGTAATCAGTTTGTCACTATTTACCAGTGTGATTTGGTAATCATGCAGTTTTGTCCACTATTTACCAGTCTGATTTGGTAATCAGTTTTGTCCACTATTTACCAGTCTGATTTGATAATCAGTTTTGTTCACTATTTACCTGTCTTATTTGGTAATCAGTTTTGTCAACTATTTACCAGTCTGATTTGATAATCAGTTTTGTTCACTATTTACCAGTCTGTTTTGGTAATCGGTTTTGTTCAATATTTACCAGTCTGATTTGGTAATCAGTTTTGTCCACTATTTATCAGTCTGATTTAGTAATCAGTTTTGTCCACTATTTACCAGTCTGATTTAGTAATCAGTTTTGTCTACTATTTACCAGTCTGATTTGGTAAATCAGTTTTGTCTACTATTTACCAGTCTGGTTTGGTAATCAGTTTTGTTCACTATTTACCAGTCTGTTTTGGTAATCAGTTTTATTCAATATTTACCAGTCTGATTTGGTAATCAGTTTTGTCCACTATTTATCAGTCTGATTTAGTAATCAGTTTTGTCCACTATTTACCAGTCTGATTTAGTAATCAGTTTTGTCTACTATTTACCAGTCTGATTTGGTAAATCAGTTTTGTCTACTATTTACCAGTCTGGTTTGGTAAACAGTTTTGTCCACTATTTACCAGTCTGATTTGGTAATCAGTTTTGTCCACTATTTACCAGTCTGATTTGGTAATCAGTTTTGTCCACTATTTACCAGTCTGATTTGGTAATCAATTTTGTCTACTATTTACCAGTCTGATTTAGTAAATCAGTTTTGTCTACTATTTACCAGTCTGATTTGGTAATCATTTTTGTCCACTATTTACCAGTCTGATTTGGTAATCAGTTTTGTTTACTATTTACCAGTATGATTTGGTAATCAGTTTTGTCCACTATTTACCAGTCTGATTTGGTAATCAGTTTTGTCCACTATTTACCAGTCTTATTTGGTAATCAGTTTTGTCCACTATTTACCAGTCTGATTTGGTAATCAGTTTTGTTCACTATTTACCAGTCTGATTTGGCAATCAGTTTTGTCCACTATTTACCAGTCTGATTTGGTAATCAGTTTTGTCTACTATATTCCAGTCTGATTTGGTAATCAGTTTTGTTCACTATTTACCAGTCTGATTTGGTAATCAGTTTTGACCACTATTTACCAGTCTGATTTGGTAATCAGTTTTGTTCACTATTTACCAGTCTGATTTGGTAATTAGTTTTGTCCACTATTTACCAGTCTGATTTGGTAATCAGTTTTGTTCACTATTTACCAGTCTGATTTGGTAATCAGTTTTGTCCACTATTTACCAGTCTGATTTGGTAATCAGTTTTGTCTACTATTTACCAGTCTGATTTGGTAATCAGTTTTGTTCACTATTTACCAGTGATCACTTTTGTCCACATTTACCATTTCATTTGTAATCAGTTTCAAAAAACATCCGAACAACTGATGAAATTAAACCCTTGTTATTCAGAGAATAGAATATCATATAAATACATCAGAGTGTTATTTCTGGTTTGAACTCAGCTTTATGGTCTTCATTAAATCCGTATATATGTATTATTATATCTCAGTGTCTGGGATACTTAAACGTCAATATTCCTTTACTGCCATGATTATATAGATAAGTTGTCCCTTAAAAAGTACTGTTGCTTAGAAACTATGACATCTATTCAACGTAACAGGTCAAACGCATTAAACCATACTAAGAAAAGTGGATTAATCACCAACTTTGGTCAACCTGATCTTTTTTAAGACCTGATCTAGATTGAGTACAAAACTATCACTATTTCAATGCAAATATGACATTGGGACTTTATAAGCCCTTTGACTAAATTAGGTGGTCTAAATATTACCTAGAAAGGTTATCCTAGTTCCCGTTCTAAATATTACCTAGAAAGGTTATCTTAGTTCCCGTTCAAAATATTACCTAGAAAGGTTATCTTAGTTTCCGTTCTAAATCTACTTTTATATTACCAGGGGTATATAGCATCCCTAAATACAATGTATTGTCTGTAAAAGAAACCATAGACTTTGTTGTCATGGTAAATGTTTATTTTAGGATGTTATCTGCCAAGATAAATTGTCCTACATCAGGTATGACTTAAGGCTCTGTCCTTCCTGTTATTCTGCATTCATATACCGTAGTTATATAAATGAACAAGTTAGATTTATCCCAACAATTTGTCAATAAACTAATATTCAGACTGAGAAATATAACATAGAAGCCTTGCAGACTGCGGACAACTCGAGCAATTCCAACTCTTAAAATCTTATTGTCTATGAAGTGTGGTATGTACAATGTGTTCACACACAGCACATGTTGTTCACTGATTTGAATGTTAGGATGACCTTGCCTGTTTACATTATGACCTTGTTTACATCCTCCATCCCCTAATTTAATGAGTTCAATAACTGGAAAGAAAAAAACAACTTCCAGGTGTGTTTCTCAGAGAGTGGGATTTTTTTTTTTGGGGGGGGGGGTTACTATTAAAGCATCACCACCAGATTTTCTGGCCCAAATTTTTCTGCACTTTTTTTATCATTTAATGAGTTCAATAACTGAAAGGAAAAAAAACAACTTCCAGGTGTGTTTCTCAGAGAGTGGGATGGGGGGGGGGAGGTTACTGTTAAAGCATCACCACCAAACTTTCTCGCCCAAATTTGTCTGCACTTTTTTCACATCTTTTCAATATTTCGTGAAATGAAATTTTGGAACCAACAGACAAAATTTGAGTTTTTATTCAAAAGATTTGGTTACTTTTGTTCCATTCTGCTGAAGGAAAGTGCAGACTACAAAAAGACTTTTTTGTGAATTTGGGGAACTGGTTAATTAAAGATTAATTATCACTGGTCTTTGATTTCTCTGTTTTGATATTTTAAGCAAATTATTTGGTTTTAAATTTGCAGATGATTTAGTATATTTGTACATGTTGTACATTGCACAAATTTATAATTTAAACTTATTGTATAATTTTGCATTTACAGTAACAAATCCAAAATGTAAACTACTCTAGCGTAAAACTATTATTATTTATAGTGTTGACACATCGCCTTCTGAAAGCGTCTATGTATTTATGTAGCGGAATGTATGGAAAATACGGTGTCAGCCGGCAATATGTGTTAATATAAATTGTAATATTAACACATCGCCTTCTGAAAGCGTCTATGTATTTATGTAGCGGAATGTATGGAAAATACGGTGTCAGCCGGCAATATGTGTTAATATAAATTGTAATATTAACACATCGCCTTCTGAAAGCGTCTATGTATTTATGTAGCGGAATGTATGGAAAATACGGTGTCAGCCGGCAATATGTGTTAATATAAATTGTAATATTAACATATGCTTCCCTGCCTTTGTTGTTGTGTTGAGTATTCAGGTCATGTCAGTAGAAGAGAACACTTCAGCTAATACACATACAACATGGTGAAATGATTTACTGAAAGTCTCAATTAAATGTCATATGGTTTACATGCAGTGATGGCTTGCTGTGTTGAAGGCTGGCAATATATGTATTGGTTACAAGGGCAATGTAGGTCACAACCATGCAAGGTTGTCAACAAGACTGTCCCTATGTTAAAATTTCAAATGATCTAGTGTTATTTGGAGGGAGGGGCAGTTCTGGATGTTGGATGACAAATACTGATATATGAATGGATTACTGTTTTATTATGATTAAACCAATCAGAAAATTTGGTATTAAACCAATCAGAGCATTTGGTATTAAACCAATCAGAGAATTTTGTATTAAACCAATCAGAAAATCTTGTATTAAACCAATCAGAGCATTTGGTATTAAACCAATCAGAGAATTTTGTATTAAACCAATCAGAAAATTTGTTACAACTCATTCAGTTGCATAAACATTTTTTTTGGCACCAACGCATGCCTTTGACTTACTGTAAAGGGGTTAATTATTCACTGGGTTTTAATTTTGCTTATTTCGCTGACTTGAAAATGCGCTAAATTAAAACCCAGTGAATATATAAAATTTAGCATAGAACACATTATCTAAATGATAAAATCGTGTATTTAAAACCCACTGAATATGCTTGAAATGGGAAATCAGCAAATTTTAAACCCAGTGAAAGTTAGTCATTTGACAGTAGTATATATATATATACCATCTATGATTTTGGATGTAATGAGATTAGTTGGATTCCAGGCTGTGTACTCCTTGGGTTTGACTTTTTGTTTTTTGTTTTTGTCTATAACACCGCTTTTTCCCATTCATGTTTGCTTAAGTTTGACATTATATCATAAGATGAAGATATGCACCATAGTCTGATTTACATCAACAGGATTGATACTGAGCACCACAATTTAAAAAAAAAATCCATTTAGAAGTTTACTGTGAAATGAAACTGTTTTTTTTTAAATATTTAGTTAGTTACAAACTAATCTATATTATAGTTAGTGTAGGCTATGAATTTCAGCAACCTAGCAACTGTAGCCATAGCAACCAGTAAATCCTATTTCTTTATTACTCACGGTGGCATTGTAATGCAATTACTGGTTTTGTCTTATGTCTTTCAGTATTTGGAGTTCCGGTTTAACAGCAAGTTTGTCAGAGTGTTGGGAAGTGCCACGTTCATTTGTCAAATGGTGAGAATTTTTTTTTTATTTGTAACATGAATGCAACATACTGAATGTATAGGAAAAACATACATCATAGCAGAAATACACATCAGATATATAAATATATATATATAAATCAGGAAGATGTCTTTAAATAGTGTTTGCCATTGCCATTACTAAACAAACCATTTATGACACTATGAAACAAGGTTAGACTCACAGAATGTTTTCCGGAATCAATGAAAAGTGAGGGTAAATTGGTCCTGCAATTGATAATCAGGGTTAACAATCACAAATATGATAGATGCAGCTATAAGTATTTGTTGCAGCATAATACAAAACAAAGTAGTAAACACGCCAATAAATGCTGTCCACTGATTTAAAAAACAAACAGAGAATATTGGTATGGATAATGAGGGCAGTATAACTTCTTGAAAACATCTTAAAGTTTTTAAATAAATTGGATTGAAAATCTTCTGTATTGTTTGGACAATAACAATGAAGAGAATCAATACATAAATATTCCATATAAATGATTATTGCAAACGTAGAATCAAATTTGGAAATTTTATAAACTTTATGTATCAATTAAACAAATGCATTATTTTTAAATACTGTAAAATACTTTATTTTAGCTGGAATTAATATTGGCTGAAAAGATTTATGGATGTTTTGTATGGAATTTATTTTCACTGATTTTTGATAAGTTGAGTGTAAAATATAGGAAAATAGTATATTCACTGGATTTTATTTTCACTGAATCATTAATTCCAAGCGAAAATAAAGTATTTTACAGTACAATATTAGGAAAAACAAGATTTCACCAATATCATCAAAATACCAACAACTGACTTTAAACAACACAAAAAATCACACCATCACCCACAACAGATAGATCTGACAACATTTGATAAAACACCAATAATCATGATTTTATATATAGCAGCTTTATTATCCACTGGCATGTAGTGCATGTGAAGGATATAATAGTCACCAATGTATGTTGTCCATACATCTGTTCGAACATCTGTATGTCTGTTCGTTCATATGAAGTCATATCAGGACCACTATTACAGATTCACAAAGACATTTACACAGTGTGATGTTGAAAAAGAAACTAGATCCAATCAAAATATTCAATGACCATATATGGTCATGTGCTTAACTATCATATCTGGAGCACTATGCAGATAGTATTAGAGAGCTTAAGGAGAGAACTCTGGAACTTGTGATTTTGCAATTTTTTTTCTTTCTTACAATCTGTATCACGGTGCATGTGCTAAGGTATCTTTCCATTCGATGATGTCACCATTAACCAGAATGCATTTCAGGTAGTTATTGATATAAGCCTGCACACCATGTGTTCGCTAAGACAACGCATAAAATTAGAATGCCATAATAATTGTGATTATAATAATTAATACAATAATTTACTAGTATTGTATTTGTTTTTTTACTTCAGGTTCTTTATATGGGTATTGCTATATATGCACCATCATTAGCGTTAAATGCAGGTGAGTATACCATTCAAATACTGTAATTTTAAAAATATAAAAATACCATTTTTGAGAATTTGGCTGAATAGCAGAATCTCAATATAAATAAAATATCAACAATCTTATTTTGACAATTAATAGCTTAATTCTATTTGCTGCTACTATAACTCCTGCAGCCTTCACGATTGAC